TACAACTCAAAATGTGATAATACTCAAAAAATTTAAAGTATAAAAAATATTAAGAAAATTTATAAGTCTATATTTAAATAAGTGGTGACAGTCCCAAAAAGAATCCTTATTGTTATTCAAAACGATATTTATAAATTCCTGCGTGTTCTTATTGTGATTTTGCTATGCGCTCACCTCCTTATAAGCCTAATGTTCACTTTGTGTTCACAATTGGAACCTGGTGTAATCTCTTGTTGCGCCGTTTAATGGATGCTGGATATCCCTTGGGAGCTCCTTGGTAATCCTCTCCTCCTGTGCAGGTATCCCTGCAAGGATCTCTCCCCCCTTCTGCTGCTGGTTTTCTCCATCGTCTCCCTCCTCCGTGTCAATGTTTATAGAGAGAAAGGAGATATAGTGCCTTATCCTTTTTAAAATTACCACACACCCAGGACGGCGAGTATAGGCTGTGTGCGGCGCACACAGAGAAGGATTTGTTTGTACATACAAAGCACATGTTTTTAATGAATGTGAGTGCAATATTGGGCACATAATAAAGTGTAATTTTAAAAAGGATAAGGCACTATATCTCCTTAGTATGAATGTAGGATTCTTGGGCATCACGCCATTTTATTTGGTGCAAAGTTTATTTTTGCACAACACCACAAAAGATCTAAAAGAACATCAATGTGGGCTTCCAGGGGTAAAGCCTAAATAAAATGTAATACAAATAAAATAATCATGGGAAAGCTCACCTGTACACTGACACTGCCTTGCAGTTTTAATTGTAATTTGATCATATCCACTTCTGAAGAAGAGCAAAGCTGACGAAGTTCAGCTACTTTTTTACTCATTTCATCAATTGCTACTTCTATGGGATTCAGGTCAGTGTGGTGCTGATACATGACAGGAATCCGCTTTTTCACATAAGGGAAACTGTGTAAAGCTGTAAAAGAAAAACATATTTTGTGTTAAAGGGGAATTTTTGAACAAAGAAACATGGGAGCTGTCACTGCTGATTTGTTTGGGGCTGTCTTCCCGATTTCAGCATCACTAATTTGTGAGTCACAAATGAGGGCAAGTATGTAATTTAGTGAACTCTGAATAGTCTATATATTGCCTTCAAAACATGTTCAAGGCTGGGTACACACTAAGTATATCTTAAAATGTATTGCATAAGGTTCTTTTTATGGCCCTGATAAAGAGGACACTGTAGTTGTCCTAAAGCTTGTTCGCATTAAACCTCTACAAACCATAACATCCATAATCAAAATTAACCTGCCTTGTATTTTTGTCAATAACTAATTGAGGACCAGTATGTTACAACCCTCTTTTTGTTTTCAGCTCTGTGATAGTTTGACAATTACGCCACAATGTAACACTATACACAAATTTTAGCTTTTTGTTTGCTTTCTTTTTTAACCCAAGAGAGATTTCTTTTGGTGGTATTTAATAACTACTGAGAATTAAAATTTTTGTTATATACAAAAAAAAGGCCAAAACAATTTGAAAAAATGTTTCCCTAACTTTCTGTTATAAATTATAAGAAATAAAAATGCCAGGTTATCTGTTTAAAAAATAGCCAGGAGGGTACAAACCCCCCCCCAAAATGAACTCTTTTTAGAAAACAGACACCCCTAAGCGATCTGATTTTTATCCCACAATGTTTTGGGAATTAAGAAACATGCTGGTATTGAGGAGGTCAAGACATGGAGCTTGGTATTGGTGCACTAGATACCTTAATAACTTGCCTCCAGCCCACAGTACTTTTACTGCGAGCAGACAACACAGCCAGTCACAGTGAAGTACGGGTAAGTTGCTGAGCAAATGTGCACTCACACACCCCCTGGGGCACACAACTGTGCAGTCCTGTGACTGCTGTGTCTGGTGGATACAGCAGCTAGGCTATCATGTGATCACTATGACCAATCACATGATTACAATGTGAACAAAACAGTCATGAATGGTTTACATTAGTGGTGCACCGAAATGAAAACTCTGGTGCCGAAACCAAAAATTCAAAATGCACTTGGCCAAAAACTGAAACCGAAATGTGCAGTTTTTAAAAATGAATATATATTTTTTTTTTGGAAAAAAATACACTTTGATTAAAAAAAACAAACAAAAAAACCCCCAAAAAACAATATATACCCCAAATGTTTTGGTAAAATATGAGAGGATGTTATGGCAAGTAAATAGATACCCAACATGTCACGCTTTAAAATTGTGCATGCTCGTGGAATAGCGTGAAACTGTGGTACTTCAATCTCCATGGGTGACCCTTTAAAAATGTCTACAGGTTAGAATTGTACAGTTACAGAGGAGGTCTAGTGCGAGAATTATTGCTCTTGGTCTGACGTTCGTGGCGATACCTCACGTGTGTGGTTTGAACACCAGGCATGGCCTACGTATGCGTTCACCACTAATCACTTTTATTCTTATCACAAGGAATGCATGTATCCCTTGTGATAGAAATAATTAGTGACAGGTCCTCTTTATGGCAAGATATTGGGTCAATAGGACCCCACATCTCTCCTCTGCAATGTAAAGCATTAGATCAAAAAAAGCATTGATCTAGTGCTTTTAATAGAAAAAAAAAAAAAATTGCCGGAAACAGGCCACACCGCAAAACTAAAGAAACTAAAGAGGAATATAGCAACTTAAGCAAGGGACATATTTCCTGGCTGTTGGTGGAAGGCCCTTGAGAGGGCATACCGCAGACCTCCCTGGATCGGTTAGTGGATTGTGAGCTGGAGGGACCCAATACAGTGGGGCTGCTCCCTGTGTGTTTGCTAACCAACATGTTGCACAGCAAGCAGGGACAGTTAGCTAAGAAGACAAGGTAAACCCTTTGCTACTCATGAACAAGCTGCTGAAAGAGATGCTCAAATTACTGGAGGTGACCAGGCACCTGTAGGCGGCAGCACGTATTAACTGAGATAAAGCTGTGTATCTCTTGCAATTGGGACCAGTGGTGGAGAGATGCTGCCTCAAGCCGAATGGCGTAACAAGTTTTCTAACATTTTCAGTGAAAAAACAACAGAAAATAGGGATATAATGGTGCCCTGCAGTTCTAATAAATGAAGTAGCTCCCAGGGCTCAAACCACACAGCCAGATACACACTAGAGACTATCCCACTGCTCTGGACCAGAAAAGTGCTTAGTGGCTAAGCCGGCTCAGTGCCCTAAGGTCACATTTAAGGCAGGACCTGCAATTGTCTTGACAAGCAAGGTCAGGGTACAGCCTCCAAAGCTACTGCTGAGAAAACACTTATCCAGATAACTGTGTAAAAAGACCATACGTAGATAAAGTTTTGATTAAAAAGAAAAAATGGCTAGTAACAGGTAAACTTTTCTCAGTAGAGAAAAGGCATCCATTCTCGTAGGGCAGGGGTGGGCAACTGTGGCCCTCCAGCTGTTGTAGAACTACAAGTCCCATGAGGCTTTGCAAAACTGACAGTTACAAGCATGACTCCCAAAGGCAGAGACATGATGGGACTTGTAGTTCACCAACAGCTGGAGGGCCACAGTTGTCCACCCCTGTCTTAGGGCATGCTGGTAGTGGGTGGCTTTTTCTTTTGTTTGCCAGTGTTTAAATCCTCCCATAGGTTGCAGTATAACCTAATTGCTTCTGAATACTGTGTTCCTCCATGAACAAGAAAGAAATACCATTTATTTTTAGATATGGCTAGCATAAGTACATTAAACCTAATAGCTTCATGTAATCGCATGTGTACCAGCACTTACACTGGGAAAGAGCACAGTCGGCACTCTGAGCATATCAGACTTTACTATTCGTGACCAGGATTGCAGGAGTGAAGAGAACAAGATAACCACATTACTGTGCTGCTGCTCCTTAACTCTCTCTAGTAACAAGATAGGGGTAAGTTTGGAATTCAATGTTATTGCTAAGCTTCAGGAGCTACCGGTCTTTTCTACCCCATAAAACTGCATAGAACTAAACATGCTCTGGCAGGGAAGACAGAAACAAATATACACTGCATCTGTGTATTACGCCATTTGCCTGGAGTTCAACTTCCACATATGCCTTCATGAATTTAAGTCACAAGCTTGATTATGCATTCTACTAGTTTACTTTGTGTCAGCAGTAGCAGCAGCAGGACATGTGTCCCAAAAGGAGAATACAAATTATATTTAATTCCAACTAAATTGCATGTTTGATTTTGCATCTGTTACCTGTTACTAACAGCAAAAATCAGCCAAATGGCTTGGGCATTTCAGGCTCTTAATGACACCTTCACACATCCTGCGAACGCAAGTGCAGTAATACACGCCAGAACACATTGTACCGCATTACCATGTGTTTTGGTATGGCACGATTGTTAAAACGGTGTAGGCACCTTTTTTGCGCATTTCTTGCACAGGGCAGCCTACTGAAATGAATGGGCCGTGCAGAAATGGTGTGAATAGAGACTTTGGCTAGCAGATTAAGATAGATGTGACTAACAAATTGAAGTTGAATGTCAGTCAACACTTTAGAAGTAGTTACAGCAAACAGTTTTTTTTCCTTTTCGGATAAAGGTTTTACATAAATTAATAAAAGCTGATCGTTGTAAGCACCCCTATCAGTGCTAAATGGTTTGTCTCAACCTTCTAACTGCCTCTTTGTCTGGACAGCCTTGTCTGTTTAAGGAAATTTAAAAATAATAGACTTACTGACTGGATCACCAGATAAAAATAAGGAAAACACCTATAAAAAGAAAACTGATGCAGCCACCACATCTAGAATTTGTTAGCTGCAAGTTTATAAATGTTTGAGTTATTTCTCCTAAAAACATTATTGTGTAAGAAAATGTACATATATGAAAACATTTTTATCTCCTTAAAGCAATTATAAACCTGAAAACAATCGCTAACAGATTTTAATTCACTAGCTATATACAATATAATGTACACATACCAGTAAGTATAGCACGGCGTTTGCATTGCTCTTCCACCCCACCCTGCCTTTTCCCAGAGAGGGTAAATGGCAACTCAAACACAAAGCGGCGGATATTGTGACTTTTTTCAAACTCTGTTTTTCTTTCCTGCAGTTCTTTGTCTTCAAAGTAAGGCGTGACATGTGTGACTTGGATGTAGGCGTATTTGGAGTCCAAGTCTTTTGGGTTTATCTTTATGAAAAAAATGGGAAAAATACTCAGTTTGTGTGACAGGTACCACAATAAAAAAAAAACAAAAAAACAAAAAAAAAAAAAACATTAGTACAACCCCAATCCAAAAAAGTTGGGATGCTGTGTAAAATCTACATAAAAACAGAATGCAATGATTTGCAAATCTCATAAACCCATATTTTCTTCATAATATAAATTAGAAAACATATCAAATGTTTAAACTAATTTAAAGAAAACCACAAGGTAATTTTGAAATTGATTGCAGCAACATGTCTCAAATAAGTTGGGACAGGGCCATGTTTACCACGGTGTGCCATCCCCTCTTCTTTTACAACACTCTGTAAACATCTGAGAATGGAGGAGACCAGTTGCTGAACTTTTGGGAGAAGAGTGTTGTTCAATTCTTGCCTGATATAGGATTCTAACTGATCAACAATTCTTTGTTATATTTTTAATTTCAAGATGCACCATATATTCTCAATTGGTGTAAGGTCTGGACTGTAAGCTCCTGGACTCTTTCATCTATGATAGCAACATGGCTTTGTAGTAGAAGTTTATAGTTTAGCATTGTCCTGCTGAAATATGTAAAACATTCCCTAAAAAAGACATTGTCTGGATGAGAGCATGTGCAGATGCAAGGTGCCTTTCCAGATGTGCAAGCTGCCCATTCCATATGCACTTATTCATCCTTATACCATCAGAGATGCAGGCTTTTGAAAGTAGAGTCCCTCTCTCTTTAGTCCGGAGGACAAGGTGCCATAGTTGCCAAAAAGAATGTAAAATTTAAATTTGTTTGATCAAAGAACAGCTTTCCACTTTGCAACAGAACATTTTATATTAGCTTTGGCCCAGAGATGATGGCAGCGTTTCTGGATCATTTTCAGTTATGGATCCTTTGTATTGTAGAGCTTCACCTTGCATATTTGGATGGCACAGTGATTTTTTAACCAATACTCATCCCATGCAGTGTTGTCCATCACAGAAATGCCTGTTTTTAATGCAGTATCATCTGAGGGCCCGAAGATCACAGGCATCCAATACTGCGCTGTGGCCTTGTCCTTCGTGCACAGAGATTTCTTTATATTCTCTGAATTGGTTGCTATTGTGTACTGTACATGATAAAAAGTCTTAGCAATTTTACATGGAGGAACATTATGGTATTGTAGAGCTTCACCTTGCATATTTGGATGGCACAGTGATTTTTGAACCATTACTTAGCCCATGCAGCATTGTCCATCACAGAATCATGCCTGTTTTTAATGCAGTGCCGTCTGAGGGCCTGAAGATCACAGGCATCCAATACTGCGCTGTGGTCTTGTCCCTCGTGCACAGAGATTTCTCCATATTGTCTGAATCGTTTGATATTATGTACTGTACATGATAAAAAGTCTTAGCAATTTTACATGGAGGAACATTATTCTGAAATGTCTGACAATTTTTGGATGCAGCTTTTCACACATTGGTGAACCTCTGCTCATCTTTACTTCTCAGGCACTCTGACTCTCTAAGATGCTCTTTTTATACCCAATCATGTTAGTGACCTTGTTGCCAATTAACCTAATTAGTTGCAAAATGTTCTTCCAGCTCTTCCTTGTTACTTTGCCATCTTCATGTTGCCCCGCCCCAACCTTTTTAAGACGAAGTTGCTGCCATACATTTCAAACTTACCCTGTGTTCTTAAAATGGTACATTTTAAACATGTCAGTTTAAACATTTGATATGTTTACTATTTTCTATTGTGAATAAAAGATGGTTTTATGAGGTTTGAAAATTATTGCATTCTGTTTTTGTGTAGATTTTACACAGTGTCCCACATTTTTAGAAGTGGGGTTGTAAAATCATCCACTGCACATAAGAAATCAGCTTTGTTTGGGACTTCTCACTTCTTTAAGCTACTCATACAGCTTTTCAGCTTCATAAAAGCACTAGGCAATCAAACATTGCTGTGATGCTGCCTCTCTTCACTGATGCCCATTTGCATCTGTGAACACTGCTGCTCCTACATTGTAAATGGCTGATCACTAAAATATTGCAAGGAGGAAAACCCATGCCTCCATGAGAGTACAAAGGGATTTCTAGTAACAAGGGATTTTCAGTTTTTCTAACAAATACAGCGGGTAAAATAAGTACTGAACAGGTCACCATTTTTCTAGGTAAATATATTTATAAAAGGTGCTATTGACATGAAATTTTCACCACGTTAGTAACAAACCATGCAATCCATACATACAGAGACACCAAAACAAATAAGTTTAGAAATTAAATTATGTGTAATAAAATTGAATGACACAGGGAAAAAGTATTGAACACCTCCCTTTCTTCATGTGTTCAATACTTTGTTTTGGTTTCTTTGTAGGTATGGATTGCATAGCTTGTTATCGACATGTGGTGAAAATTTCATGTCAATAGCACATTTAGAAATATATTTGCTGAGAAAAATGGTAACAAGTTCAATACTGATTTTACCCTCTGTAAGTTAGTAATACTCTAGTGAGGATTTTAAAAACTTCTTATTCAGTTGCACTATGCCAGTATAGTCCATGACCATACCTTGCCAGAATCCTGTATCATTTTCACATTTTCAGCACCAAACTTGTCTGAATACAGCTTGAGAAGGCGTTGGGAGATCTCAGACAGTGGAGTGAGCTTGGGCTCCTTGTAAATATACTCCTTCCCATCCTCTTCTTCAAAGAAACCCTGCAAAACTTATTTGGATTAGATTTTGTTCTGCTACCAAAGGGAGAAAATAAGGATGACAAAGATATAAACTCTTTGCACACAATGTAAAACATTTTACATTACAACTGAGAATTAAAAAAAAAAAACAAAAAACAAAAAAACAAAAATTTGTCAATGAGAAAAAGATATAACATGGTATGATATAGTTACTGTCTAGTGACGGTGATACTGTAGTTAATCCTATCCATTAATTTTTTTTTTTAATATAGGGTAATAATCATTTGTAGCCCTTTAGTTTTCTGAGGTCCTCTCTTTTGGGCAGGTCATATTGGCAGAACAGGCCTTACACCTTGTTGTTTGTGTATTACCGCTTGCAGTTCCAGAGTCAATTTTCTGTTATAATTAAGTAAGCTTACTTATGAATATTAGATTTATTTTTTAAAGTGATTTTTTGCATACGCCAGATTTCTATAGCACACATCTCTATAAACGCCCTAATTTCCTTACAAAAGATAACTCTCATTCAGATGAACTAAATGAATATTCTCAAGTAAGGACATTTTTCAGATGTCCTATTTACTTTCTTATTAAAGTCAGCCATAGATTATAATGGATGGAACTTACAGTAAAAAAAATATACAAATGCCAAAAATTTAAACCTGAATCTCTGATGCAATGTTGTCTTTATTTTTAAAGCAACTGGATTTAAAAACTGCCTGCCACCACCAACAGGCTTTGAGGAGGTCCTTAGAACTTCTTGGCCGTAGCAGAAGTGCCATGTTGGCAGCATGGTTGCTATTTGATGTTACAAATAAAAAATGAGGGACAAATGCATGATGTTTACAGGCATCTTAATTCACATTGCAAGATATAAGATTCATTTTAAAAGGGCAGTTAGAAACTGGTAGAAAGGATTAACTGAATCCAAAAATAGTGGAACTGTTTTACTGTTTTAAGTGAAATGGAGAGTAATGAACACAAGAGAATGCCACGAAGAAAACTGAAATTAAGAACAGAATTCACATCACGCCAAACTCTTTAAAGATATTGTAACTGTAGTGCCTTATGAGTAAGCCACTCTACAGGAATTACCTCCACATCTGTTTCACTGTCTGTAAACTGGTATTGCTATAAAAGCATAAGAGAGAGGAGTAAGCAGAGTAAAACGACAATCACATTGCTTTTCGTGGAATAACTGCACAAAGTTTCCTGAAAAGAAATCCTTTTTTCAGCATCCGAATGAGAAGCTTCCATAAACTTTAAGCAGAGTGTGCAGTCTAAAGAATGGCTGTGGTGCTAAGGTTTCCACATGATACAAATGGCACACCAAACTACAGCCATTCGAATTTCCAATTCATGCATTACACAGAGCAAATGTGCAAATGGAAAGACTTTACTGGTCAGATGAGAAGTGAAAAGAAATCAACCTGTTCGTGCATGGTATGCAAAATGCTGCCAACATTATAACAGCAAAGCACACAAAAGCATGAAAGAGACCAAATGTAGACTTTTCCACCAAATTCGAAAAAACTTACCGCTGCCTTAAGATAGTAGAGGAAATAGAGGAGAAACGGAAACGGTCAAAACACTTCACTTATGAATATGTAGAAGAAAACTTTCCATGCCTGACAGAAGTGTGATCCTATGACTACTAACTAGACTTTTCCTTTTGCCTTAGTGATGTGAAACACAATCGAATCAGGATGACTGCCAGGGCTTCATTTAGCAGAGAATCAGCATCCCAAGACACAGCATTTTAAAGTTGATCTTTACTGAAAGCAAGTTAAAACTGGGCAAACAACAAGGCAAGAAAACCAAGAGCTCTTAAAACAGCACAGGAGTGACATGAAAAGAGTTCTCTGCAGTCATTAAACATGAGTGGAATTTACTAAAACTGGAGCAGCTGTGCATAGTAACCATCCAGCTTCTAACTTGTTCAGTTAATTTTTGAAAGTGAAAAAGAATCTGATTGGTTGTCATGCACAACTGCACAAGACTCTGGCTGCTTCAGTCTTCGTAATTTGCCTGCAATGTCTTCTGCTCAATTAAACCCATGCTTTTAGTAAAGAGATATTTTGGAAGACATTTTATCTGAGATGGGAGTCATTTCTGAACCTTGTGAAAATTCTAACTGCTTAGCTGTTATGCTGAGCCATTGGCTCCAATACGTTCTGCATCACCAAACTAGAACAAGTGTGCAGATTTACAAAGATGTATGCAGATGAGTAAAATGTCCATTCCTACAAAATTTGCTTGGGTAAATGATTCACAGTACTGAAATAAACGGGTCAGCAAGAAAGCCAAGCAACTAACATTTTTAGATTTGAGGTTAGTGATCATAGCCTACATGTTTCCTTCATGACAGGTCATGTTCAAACTACTTCTTCTCTGCTAGAGGGTTTCAAGCCTTAGTCTAAATAATATGAAGGGCTGAACAGCTGCTATTTGCAGATGTGTGAAAGTCTTTGCTCCTTCAGAAAACCAGTATAATTTATCCAAGTGTATGGAACTTCCATTTTTTTTTTAATATCACTAATGATAATGACTTGGGGAGAAACCAGTGAGTCAATAGTACTTCATGAGTAGAAACCATCATTGATGTAATAATCATAAATTATAAATTAGATAAAGAAAGGTGGATAATCCTTACTTGTCCAAAGAAGGCCACTCTAAAATAGGTCCCCAGAAGTCTCTTGCCTGTATGCATCACTTCCGTAACCTTGCTGTAAGCCCGATGAAGAGTGTCATATAAATGAGCGAGTCTCTGTTAAAAAAAAAAAAAAGTTTCCAAATTAGACTGTAGGGTAAGGAATCTGATGGTAAAGAAAGGAAGATTAAAGTGTTAAAGGCACAACAGTAAAATCAGTCTGTATATGCAGTAAAGCATGCTCACTGTGGAACCTAAAGGTTTAATCCTGTCAGCATTACATTATCTGCATAACCAAGGTCACCAAATAAAAGCCTAAATATGAGGGTAGTTTAGTATGACTAAAACGAAAGGTAGCAAACAAAACATACAGTATCTCACAGAAGTGAGTACACCCCTCACATTTTTGTAAATATTTTATTATATATTTGCATGTGACAACACTGAAGAAATTACACTTTAATACAATGTAAAGTAGTGAGTGTACAGCTTGTCTAACAGTGAAAGTTTGCTGTCCCCTCAAAATAACAGCACACAGCCATTAATGTCTAAACCGCTGGCAACAAAAGTGAGTACACCCCTAAGTGCAAATGTCCAAACTGGGACCAAAGTGTCAATATTTTGTGTGGCCACCATTATTTCCAGCACTGCCTTAACCCTCTTGAGCATGGAGTTCACTTGAGCTTCAAAAGGTTGCCACTGGAGTCCTCTTCCACTCCTCCATGACGACATCACGGAGCTGGTGACCTTGTGCTCCTCCACCTTCCGTTTGATGATGCCCCACAGATGCTCAATAGGGTTAAGGTCTGGAGACATGCTTGGCCAGTCCATCACCCTTACCCTCAGCTTCTTTAGCAAGGCAGTGGTCGTCTTGGAGGTGTGTTTGGGGTCATTATATTGGAATACTGCCATGGGAAGGAAGGGGATAAAGCTCTGCTTCAGGATGTCACAGTACATGTTGGCATTCTTTGTTCCCTCAATGAACTGTAGCTTCCCAGTGCCGGCAGCACTCATGCAGCCCCAGACCCTGACACTCCCACCACCATGCTTGACTGTAGGGAAGACATACTTGTCTTTGTACTCCTCACCTGGTTACTGCCACACACGCTTGACACCATATGAACCAAATGAATTTATCTTGGTTTCATCAGACCACAGGACATAGTTCCAGTAATCCATGTCCTTAGTTTGCTTGTCTTTAGCAAACTGTTTGCGGGCTTTCTTGTGCATCATTTTTAGAAGAAGCTTCCTTCTGGGATGACAGCCATGCAGACCAATTTGATGCAGTGTGCGGTGTATGGTCTGAGCACTGACAGGCAGACCCCACCACCCCTTCAACCTCTGCAGAAATGCTGGCAGCACTCATATGTATTTCCCAAAGACAACCTCTGGATATGACCACTGAGAACGTGCACTCTAATTCTTTGGTCGACCATGGCGAGGCCTGTTGTGAGTGGAACCTGTCCTGTTAAACCACTGTGTGGTCTTGGCTACTGTGCTGCAGCTCAGTTTCAGGGTCTTGGCAATCTTGTTATAGTCTAGGCCATCTTTATGTAGAGCAACAATTCTTTTTTTTTCAGATCCTCAGACAGTTCTTTGACATGAGGTTCCATGATGAACTTCCAGTAACCAGTATGAGAAAGTAAGAGCGATAACGCCAAATTTAACACACCTGCTCCACACTCACTGCTAATACCTTGTAACACTAACGAGTCACATGACTTCGAGGAGGGAAAATGGCTAATTGGGCCCAATTTGGACTTTTTCAGTTAGGGGTGTACTCACTTTTGTTGCCAGCGGTTTAGACATTAATGGCTGTGTGTTGAGTTATTCTGAGGGCACAGAAAATTTACACTGTTATACAAGCTGTACACTCACTACGTCACATTGTAGCAAAGGGTAATTTCTTCAGTGTTGTCACATGAAAAGATAGAATAACATATTTAAAAAAAAGTGAGGGGTGTACTCACTTCTGTGAGATACTGTATCTGAATAAAGTCAGACAAAATACAATCTAATTAAATGTGATTTCTGAAGCAGCTGCATCAACCCATACAGGTGAAACTCGAAAAAAATAGAATATCGTGCAAAAGTTCATTTATTTCAGGAATGCAAATTAAAAGGCGAAACTAATATATGAGATAGACTCATTACATGCAAAGCGAGATAGTTCAAGCCGTGATTTGTCATAATTGTGATGATTATGGCTTACAGCTCATGAAACCCCAAATCCACAATATCAGAAAATTAGAATATTACATGCAATCAATAAAACAAGGATTGTACATAGAACAATATCGGACGTCTGAAAAGTATAAGCATGTATACAGTTGTGTTCAAAATAATAGCAGTCAGACATCACTAACCTGATCAATCACTGTTTTTGGTAGAAATGATATTTCTACATGGCAAATAATTTACTAGCAGGTGTAGTAGAGTAATAGAAATCAAACAGACCCAACAGTCATGACATGCATGCTGCTGATTCTGTGTAATTGAATCACTCATTGAAAGGGGCATGTTCAAAATAATAGCAGTGTGGAGTTCTATTAGTGAGGTCATTCAGACTTTGAAAAACAGGTGGCAATTATTGCCCTTATTTAAGGAAGGCAGGAAATGTTGTACATGCTGGTTACAGTGCATTTCTCTCTGAAATTCTGAGGAAAATGGGTCGTTCCAGACATTGTTCAGAAGAACAGTGTACCTTGATTGAAAGGTTGACTGGAGAGGGGAAAACATATAAAGAAGTGCAGAAAATGATAGGCTGTTCAGCTAAAATGATCGCAAATGCTTTAAAATGGCAACCAAAACCTGAAAGACGTGGAAGAAAGCGAAAAACTACTATTCGAATGGATAGAAGAATAGCCAAAATGGCAAGGACTCAGCCAACAATCAGCTCCAGGAAGATCAAAGAAACTCTAAAGTTACCTGTGAGTACTGTTACAATTAGAAGACGCCTATGTGAAGCCAAGCTATCTGCAAGAAGCCCCCGCAAAGTCCCACTGTTGAAAAAAAAAGACGTGCTGAAGAGGTTACAATTTGCCAAAGAGCACATTGACTGGCCTAAAGAGAAATGGCGCAACATTTTGTGGACTGATGAAAGTAAGATTGTTCTTTTTGGGTCTAGTGGCCAGAGACAGTTTGTCAGATGACCCCCAAACACTGAATTCAAGCCACAGTGAAGACAGTGAAGCATGGTTGTCCAAGCATCATGATATGGGGATGTTTCTCATACTACGGTGTTGGGCCTATTTATCGCATACCAGGGATCATAGATCAGTTTGAATACACCAGAATACTTGAAGAGGTCATGCTGCCTTATGCTGAAGAGGAAATGCCCTTGAAATGGGTGTTCCAACAAGACAACGACCCCAAACACACCAGTAAACGTGCAACATTTTGGTTCCAGACCAACAAGATTGACGTTCTGGAGTGGCCAGCCCGATACCCGGATCTTGATCCAATAGAAAACTTGTGGGGTGACATCAAAAATGCAGTTTCTGAGGCAAAACCAAGAAATAGAGAAGAACTGTGGAATGTAGTCCAATCATCCTGGGCTGGAATACCTGTTCACAGGTACCAGAAGTTGGTTGACCCCATGCAACACAGATGTACAGCAGTTCTCAAACAGTGCTTATACAACTAAATATTAAGTGATTCAAAGGAAAGCAAAATCTTCAAACATTTTTCAGTTTATATAGTGAATGTTTGAGTTTGTAAAGAAGAATACAAACACTGCTATTTTTTTGAACAGTCTAATATTCACTTTTCTTCCATTTTTTTTAGAGGAACAACACAAATTTGATATATTTTTCTTCATGTTTTGATTTGGAATAGAATGTGTAGTGTTCCCAATGCATTTGCGTGTATGGAAATAAAAGCTATTAGAAGGATTTTGAGCTTTATTCACTTTTTCAACACACTGCTATTATTTTGAACACAACTGTATGTACTTGGTTTGGACCCCTTTTGCAGTAATTACTTCCTCAATGCGGCGTGGCATGGAAGCTATCAGCCTGTGGCACTGCTGAGGCGTTATGGAAGACCAGGATGCTTCAATAGCGATCTTCAGCTCTTCTGCTTTGTTTGGTCTCATGTCTCTCATCTCTCTCTTGGCAATGCCCCATAGATTCTCTATGGGGTTCAGGTAAGGCGAGTTTGCTGGCCAATCAAGCACAGTAATCCCACGCTCATTGAACCAGGTTTTGGTGCTTTTGGCAGTGTGGGCAGGTGCCAAGTCCTGCTGGAAAATGAAGTCAGCATCCCCATAAAGCTGGTCTGCGGAAGGAAGCATGAAGTGCTCCAAAATCTCCTGGTAGACGGCTGCATTGACCCTGGACTTAATGAAGCACAGTGAAACAATACCAGCAGATGACATGGCTCCCCAAATCAACACAGACTGTGGAAACTTCACACTGGACTTCAAGCATCTTGCAGTGTGTGCCTCTCCATTCTTCCTCCATACTCTGGGTCCTTGGTTTCCAAATGAGATGCAAACATTGCTCTCATCAGAAGAGAGGACTTTGGACCATTGAGCAACAGACCAGGTCTGTTTTTCTTTAGCCCAGGTAAGACGCTTCTGACGTTGTTTGTTGTTCAGGAGTGGCTTGACAAGAGGAATGCAACATTTGAAGCCCATGTCCAGGATCCGTCTGTGTGTGGTGGCTCTTGATGCACTGACTCCAGCCTAAGTCCACTCCTTGTGAAAGTCCCCAACACTTTTGAATGGCCTTTTCCTGACAATCCTCTCCAGGCTGCGGTCATCCCTGCTGCTTGTGCACCTTTTTCTTCCACACTTTTCCCTTCCACATAACTTTCTATTAATGTGCTTTGATACAGCACTTTGGGAACATCCAACTTCATTTGCAATTACCTTTTGAGGCTTTCCCTCCTTATGGAGGGTGTCAATGATGGTTTTCTGCACAACTGTCAGGTCAGCAGTCTTTCCCATGATTGTGATTCCTACTGAACCAGAGTGAGAGACCATTTAAAGGCTCAGGAACCCTTTGCAGGTGTTATGGCCTAATTAGCTGATTAGAGTGGGACACTTTGAGCCTAAAATATTGCTCCTTTTCACAATATTCTAATTTTCTGAGATTGTGGATTTGGGGTTTTCA